TTTTTTTTTTTTTTTTTTTTGTGAAATATAAATACATTTAAGGGTAAAATCGTCCATGTAATTGGAAGAATCTAATTAAAACATTTTTGCACAATCCAACTCATTTAACTATTTTTACTATTAAAATTTAGTATGTGTCTTGTTATCCCATTTTTTGGTTCAATATCGACTCGGTTCGGTCTGGTTCAGCGTTTGACCGGTTTGATTAAACCGCGGCTCTGTTTGGGGAATAAGAAAAGCAGGAAAAAGAAAAATGCAAGAAAATCTCGACGAGTTTTTCTCATTCGGATTCGCAGTTTCATTTTTCGGTCACAGTTCAATTCGCGGGACGAAATTCCTAGCGACTTGAACAGTAGTAGACTTCCGATTCTTCTGCTGTATCTGCTGCTGATCGATTATCGTTCCTTCAATTCTATCAATTGATCGCCAATTTCTTGATTTCTTTCTTGTAGATGTAGAAGGCCTCTCATTCTCAATCGCAAACTGGGCAGACGAAGAAGAAGAAGAAGAGAGGCTTAAGGAATTTTAGCTGGTTCTCAGTTCCATGGCTGCTGGATTTAACTCAAGCTTCTTATTATACGGTTGTGTGTTGGTTTTCATTTTGCTTGTAGTTCCATTGGAGTCGGCTCCTCAAGCTTTCAGGAGAGATCCGGGACATCCTCATTGGCATCACGGAGCCTTCCATACCGTCAAAGATAGTGTCCGATACGATGTTCGTCGGATGCTTCATTCACGAGCTGAGGTATTTCTCATACTGTGTTTTCTTCTGTACTATGGTTCGTAATCCTTGATCATGTGATCGTTTACTCGAGTCAAATGCAGTGGCTCCGATTCGTTAGTTCTTTGTTTAGGATTTAAACGACGTTAAAACAACTAGGAAGAATTGACAGTTTTATCTTTTTTTGATTTCCATTGGAGGAATGTTGTTCCTGGAATTAGACTACGGACTTATATTTAAAATTTTGTACTTCGTAGCACTGTATTTTTCTTCATTATTTGAACTTGTAATTTAAATTAGTTGCATCGGTACTTCGTAGCTTCTGAACTAGGAATGATCATGTTTTGATTTATGATTGGCAATCTCATTCAACTTTATAGCTCCTCTACTGCACATACATAAACTAATAAAAGCACTGCACAGGTTCCCTTTCAGGTTCCACTTGAAGTGAACATCGTCCTTATTGGTTTCAATAATGATGGAGCCTACCGGTACACAGTAGATTCACACAAGCTAGAAGAGTTTCTGAGAGCCAGCTTCCCGTCTCACAGGCCATCCTGCCTTGAGACTGGCGAGCCCATTGATATAGAGCATCATATTGTATATAATGCCTTTTCTGTAAGTTCCATTTTTAGTTTCTTCCGTAACTTGCATCCTTAAAAGAATTTTACTTACAAGTTTTCTCTTTCTGACACTACATATCGAAGTTTTTTTTTGCTCCCTTTGCACTTGAGTTCATGTTTTTGAAATGAATGTTTCCTGAAAGTTATAATTTTAATTCTAATCTATTAAATACAAGCATGCTTCTTATGTTCTACTTCAATTGTAGCATATTTCATCTTCAATTGCCTTTTCCTTATCCATTTCTAGAACTGTAATCCCACTCGTAAGGCTACATGATCATCAGAAACTTAGAGTTTAGGTATCCGTAATGCTTAAATAAATCTGCTTGCACTCATCAATCTTAAACGATGTTTTTTTTTCAATGAATATTGCATTTTTGTACAAGAAGTTCTTTGGTCTGGCTACTATATTCTGCACTGCTACAGGCAGGTCAGGCTGAATTGATAGCTCTTGAGAAGGCATTGAAGGAGGCCATGATTCCTGCTGAAACCGCAAGAGAGGTGGAACTTAAGCTCTGTGCTGCTATTTTCTTCTGTTCTTCGTAGTTTTTGGAGTAGTTTGTGAACAATTTTTTTTTTTATTACATATATTTAATCCTAAAAGTTCTATACATTTTCAGACTGATTTTGGAAGGGAGGTACCTCTGTTTGAGGTTGAAGCAACAACAGTTGAACCTGTGTTTCAGAAATTATATTCCTATATTTTTGACACGGATAATGAGGCATACAATGCTGCTGAGAGGGATAGACTTATGCCAATTGCCATTTTTATTGTCAACTTCGATAAGGTTTGGTAACTTTGTCCAAATCCAAATTTTGAATGCAAAGTTTTGGTGCTTCTTTTTAGGATCACGATGTATTTTCTCTCACTTTTCCTTGAGAAAGTACTCATTTTCTTTCAAGCTTACATTTATGATTTAATATTCTTCTCTGTCAGATGAAGTGCTCGTTTTTTTCATCTTCTTTTTTCCCTCTGTTGTCTGTGAAACATCCTTTTTTTTTGTGTGTGTGTAATGATCTGCCATCCTTAAAACTTTTCTTTCTACTATCATCCTTTGTTGTTTTAATTTCATTTTCTATTTTACCATCTCCTACTTTTTCACTCTACTTCTGTTACAGGTCAGAATGGACCCCAGAAATAAGGAAATCGATCTTGATAGTTTAATGTATCAGAAACTTGCCCCGCTAAATGATGAAGATGTGAAAAAACAAGAAGGCGATTACATTTATCGTTACCGATACGAAGGTGGAGGAGCAACTCAAGTTTGGCTGGGCTCTGGCAGGTATTGTTTTGATATTCTGGGAGTCTTGCTATTTCTGTGTGGTTCAATTGCAAGTTGTAATAAATTTTGGTTCGATATGATTTTATTTATGTTTTTTTAGCACTTAGGAACTAATATTCAATACAATCAGAAGCTTAGTGAAAATTACTAAGTTCTGGTTGTTTTTATGTGGTTGTTGATATGATCCACGTCCTTTAAGTAATTGATGTAATAGGAAGCTAAATGGAGAGGTAATATGGCAATATACAATTTTATGTCTCGCGTGATTAAATGTATATCATTAGACTGTAGTGCGATCTCTGTGACTGGTATCACAATGAAGGTTAATCAATTTAGTGGTAGGTTCAACTTATCTTTGAGCATAACTGGTGTTATTGTTTGTTTCTTTCTTTGATGGGATGTATGTGTTAAATTTTTCTTTGTTGTCCAACATTGTAACTAGAGCTCTGGTATGTGATCCCGGTTCTTTTCTGCATTATCAGATATGCTGTGATTGACCTCTCAGCAGGCCCGTGC